TTTCAGCGGTTGTGATGAAGGGTGATTCATGAATAGAGGCTGTCGAGGCCCGAGACAGGTAGCTCCTCTACAGAGTGGCCAAATCCTAAAAGAGAATGGCGTCTAAGTAACGGCAGCAAACCTCGACTCAAAGATGCCGTCGATCAACCTCCCTATCTCCACTGTCCCCTCGTCCCCTGACCTTATTCCGACTTGCCGTATGTTCCAGTGAAGGACAGCAGCACACATACCAGTCCCTGATAACCTCTGACACCTTGTATCTTTGCCTGCGATGGTGGCAACGATTCCTGTAGTAGAGGTCGATAGAGACGTAGGTGGATGTCTGATTTACCAATCACCACCGCCGCCAACAGGCTCGACGTTGGAGGCGGCGTTGAAGCCGTCAGCCTCGCCATGACCGCCGTTGTCGTACTCATCCTCCTGCTTGGGCGCGGAGCACTGGTACTGTTTGTGGCCCATCTCGCCACAGTTGTTGCACTTGATGCGCGAGACTGGTAGAGTGTTAGTGTATGGATGTCGTCAGGTTTTGGGGGAGAGGAGGCATTACCATCGACGGGCTTGGGGCATTCACGAGCCTGGTGACCCTCCTCGTCACAGTTGCGGCATTTGAGCTTGCGAGGCTCGGGGCAATCGCGGGAGATGTGGCCCTCTCCACCACAGTTGTGGCAAGCGCGACCACCACCGCCACCCTGGGGACAGTCGCGAGAGAAGTGACCCACTGGCGTGGTTCGTTAGCAGAGTTTTGGGTATTTGAGGGGATGGGGGTGAAGGCAGGCGTACTCTCGTGGCATTTGTTGCACTCGACGTTGTCGGCGTTGCGAGGCTCGGTGCACTCGTTGGACTTGTGGCCACCCTGGCCGCAGTTGCGGCAGGCGAAGCGATCCTTGCGGGGGATGGGGCCTAGGAAAGATGTTGATTAGCCTTGATCAGGTGTTCACACAGGGGCGATGGGGAACTCACAATCACGGACGCGGTGACCATCCTCATCGCAGTTGTAGCAATGAACGGTGACGGCAGCACGCTCCTCCTTGGGGGCCTCACAGGCCTTGGTGATGTGGCCCAGCTCACCGCAGTTGAAGCAGCGAGGAATGAAGTTGTTGACGGCCTCTCCAGCGTCGGCGAGGCGCTCCAGGTTCTCCTCCGGAGTCTTGGGCCAAGCCTCGAACTCACGAGGACGGCTAGCCTTCTCGGAGAAGCGGAAGCTGGCGTAGTACTTCTTTCCGAGATTGCCCTGGAGGTCCATGAGGGTCATGGTGGGGATGATCTCGCGCTCGAGACCGATGATGTAGACCTTCATGTTCTGGCGACGGAAGGCCTGCTCGACCTGAAGGTAGGTCAGGTCGGGGTGGTGCTTGAGGTAGGCCATGAGAGCCGTCTTGACCTCGATGGCATCACGATCGCTGACAGCCTCGATGATGGCATCCCAAGCCTCGGTATCGGTCATGTCAGGGTAGACCGAGTAGTCGATCCTGCGAGGGTTGGTGCACTCAGTCACCTCGTGTCCTAAGGAAGATGGTGTCAGAAAACGTCAAGAAGAAATCAATCAGGGACAACTCACCCTCCTCCTTGCAGTTGCGGCAAGTCTCAGCAGGCTTCTGGGGGCAGTCCTTGCGAAGATGATCAGGGTCACCGCAGATCCTGCAGGTCATAGGGGCCTTGTCGGGGCAATCGGCCTTGTTGTGGCTAAATAGTCAAAGTTAAAATTCAGCGCCAACGATGCTGTAGAAGGAGTCTGATGCGGGTACGAACCCAGGCTGGCCGCAGCCGAAGCAAGCGCGATCGCCACCGCCGCCATCGAAGCCGTTGGCCTGACCATCGTCGCCGTTGCCATGATCGTCGTACTCATTGGTACCGCCAGCCTCGTGAGCGGGAGCGGTGTTGAAGTCGTCGTTGCCAGCGGCAGCAAAGGCGTCGCCAGCAGGGGCCGCGCCCCAGGGGTCAGCGGCGGCGGCGGCGCCGCCGCCGTTGTTGTTTCCGTCGTCCCAGGACATGATGTAGTAGCTCTCGTACTCGGGAATGTCGTAGAATGCAGAATTCAGGTTCGCACGAATGCCGGAGTTGAAATCGGAGAATTCGTCCGAGTCAACAGAGCGGATGGATGGAGTAGGGTCTTGGTGCGTTCAGAACTTGACTCGAATTGAGAGGGAGAAGTTGGGGATCTGTGGTGTGGAAGAGTGGTGGGAAGAGAGGTGGGTGTGAGGAGTTTTTCTCAAGAATGGGAAAGGGCAGGCAGTGGGAGATATTTCTGGTGGGAAACAAACAAAAGATCACCTGAGGCAGGCGGGGCAGGTGTGCTGGGTGCGGACAGGTAAAGGTGGAAGGTCCCAGCTCAAAACAGAAACGGGAAGGAGCAGATCAGACCAGGCATCACCAGCCTTGTTCGGGCAACTGCCACTGGCTCTGTGGAGACATACTGCCAGCAGTGCCAGGGCAGGCACCGCGGTTCGCCCAGCGGCCTGATGCAGATGGTGCCTGCCTGGCCAGAGCTCAATTAGGAGCCTGAGACACCCGATGCGAGGATCTCGTAAGGCAAAGCACCCGAAGATCGAGTCCCAAGGGTGGATTTCGAGGAGGACGCTTCGAACTGGGGTGTGTACTTACTACCGAAATCAAGTGAAGTCACCCAAGTGCTATCACTTCCACGCCGAATGTGTCGGCCCTGGGGCTCCTTCATCTGGTACGGAGGCATAATATCTTGTGCTTCAAACGGGTGCGGTTTGAGAAGCAGTAAAGTGAAAGCGAAGTGGTGAGTTGTGCTCTTGAGCTCGAGGTCCAATGTGAGGAGGAAGAGAGAGGTCTTTGATCTGAAGAGATCAAGTTCTAGGAATCTCCAGAGCTCTTTTAAAGGTCAGGACGAACTGCGCTAGTATTCACTGATTCCTGGCGGGCCAATGGGCGGCTTTCCTTTGCGGCCATGGTGATAATTCACGGAAATCCGACCTGATCGCACGTGACCCGAGCGCCTGGGTGCCATCTGTGTATATCAAAAAGGAAAGAGCCGGTGTTTCGGTGAGTGATCTTTGAACACGACTGCAAGCTGCACATGCCAACTTGGCTTGAGGCCTGCTCCGACGATGCTGGTGGTGTTTGGTGTTTTGGGTTCTACTCAGGACGCCCTCGACGACACAAGGGTGGCCCGCTGAGAAACACCACAGCTTCGCTAAGCACAAAACTTGAGTGAGAGAACTCTGGTTATCAATGCAGTTGTTTGAAGCCTGAAGTGACAATTATTCTTCGAGAAGTATCACGGAGTGATGATGCTCTTGATGAAGCAACTCGGCCGTTTGTCGTTGACGATGTCCGTCTGCTTAGTAACTTGGACCCGCACCAAGCTTACCGCGTAGATGCCCCTTTTTTTCTCCGCGATCGATCTGGTGTGACAAGGGGGGTAGAGGACTTGCTGCTTTAGCACCTTGCCCTAAGGTAGCCAGGAGTCCGGACGAACGTCTCCTTACTCGTAGTCTTGACCTACGTCGCTGGGCACAGGATTGTCAGTGAATATTGAGGGGATCGAATGTGAGGTACACATCGACTTGACATCAATGGATCGGACATTCAAGCCGAGGCGCACAGATTTCTCAACAGAGCACAAGTTCGGACCTGCGGTCGGATGCTTTCTGCAATGGCCCGTCAGTCAAGGCTGGCGACATGAGCGTAAGGAGGATGAGACCTCAACCCCAGCTATCTAGGCCAGGGCAAGCAAAATGAGCAAAAAGAAACTCTCCGACGGGGAATTGAACCCCGGTCTCCAGCGTGACAAGCTGGCATACTAGCCACTATACGATCGGAGAAGGCGGATGTTGACCGTTGTGTCATTGTCCTGTGGGTCGAGGAAACCTCTGCCGAGGGGGCTTGAATGGGGCGTCAATGGACCACACCAAGGAACAGGACTACCCAGGTCAGTGGTCAAGTTTGGTTCAGAGACCAGATGGGTCTGCGTTCATGCATCGAAGCCGCCGAACTTGCCGACTCCTCACTGAATGTCGTTGCCTGCCTGTTAGATGCATCTGCACCCTGTTCATGCTAAAAAGGATTCAGCCTGAGACGCAGAGGCTAGAAATCGGGTCCAGCTTGCATCATCAACCGATGGAATGGGTGCTCGACGCAGATGTTGCGGCACAGCACTCGACTTCCTGCATCATATCCCACATTGACACCATGGCAAACACCCATGGCGCGGGAGAAATCATCGTATAGCTTTCGCAAGCTTCGTACAATACCAATTGGCGATGTAACCTCTCTGCAGATCACTTGGCCCATCTTTCGCCCGGCTTGGTAGGGTCAATGCAACTGAATCCTTCTCGAATTAGCCGCAGGACTGATCTGGGCAAGTCGCAGGGAACAGATCCCTCCCACGCATGCATGATGCAGGCGCCGAATCGACTTGTGCATAGCAAAGCCTCAGACACCCACTCTAGGACGATACCCGCTGAGCATGTTGCGAGGGGACCGTCAAATGTTGACATGCACGCCAGTACCTACAGAGAATAGGTCCCTGGAGTCAATGTCAAGCTCGTAGAGACAGGCAAAAGCAAACGTGCTCATCTACCAGGCTCTAATTCGTCCGATGCCGACCCGCAAGCTCTCTTTCTGTGAACTCACCAGGCTGATATCAAGTCCCTGAGCGAATGGCACGCATTTAAATCAGGTGTGTTTCCTATGGTCATGATCTCATGTTGTCGGTGCACGCCCTCGTCTGCCTACCAAAAACGGAGCGGCTTGTCGTTCTTGGAGCACAGAGCGTCCTGGAAAGTCCAGTACCAATTTGGAGGCAAGGGGCTAGGAAGCTTCTTTTTGTCACCTGCAGTGATCATGCAGTGTAGATCTAGAGCTCATCATGCACGACTATCAGGCTCGACCAGTGGGTTCCGGTAACCCTGCGATAATCTCGTAACCAAGCCGATGGCGGAGGCGCAGAAGACCAAAAAGACCCTCTCCGGGCATCCTGCTATGCAGGAATCCGGAGGGGTAGAAAGCCGCCTAGCTGTAGAAGGCGGTTTTACTCGCGGCGGGATTTGAACCCGCGCAGGCTCTGCGCTAGTGGCCCAGAGGCTGTCGACTTAACCGCTGGGCCACAGCTGGCCCGATGAGAAGTACAGGAAGTCAAGGGGCTGTATAGGAAAGTAGCAGGTGCGGCAGGTGGGTGAGTGTGCAAAGGACAGTGTGGGTAACGCTGAGTCGGCAGGAAGCGTACATGAGTCCGATGTTCCACCCAATCGTCAGAAACCTAAACGAATAAACGAGTGAACGACACAAAGTGGATGTCTGGAACTCCTTGGCTAAATAAGATGTGTGACTTTGAGAATTGGCTAAAGTCGAGAGTTGGAGCATGATGATCAAACTTGAAGGAGTCCAGGGACTAGCCAACCTGGGTGCATTGACGAGCGCCAGCAACACCAAGGTGGCGACGGAGATGCCGACTACAGCCTCGAGGGGTAGCTGAACTGACATGGCGGATGATCCATCAACTTACAGTGCATGCTGTACACCACAGACATCCAATCTAACAAAGTTCGTCCGTGACATGTGGCGAGACGGCCCAACCGCCGAACCCCTCACTCCCTCATGTCGAAGCCGGAGAGAAGAGTTTGTGGTAGGTAAGTGAGAAATTACACGCAGGTTAATCCAGAGGAATAACTATAAGTAGGAGGTCATTGCCCTCTCCAATGTCAAGTATCGTTCTCATCATCCTCATCATCAAAAACACCAAGCAGCCACCAGCAAGTCCAGCTGTAAGTCAGATCACCCTACCGCCGCCTTCGACACCTCATCTCCCAGACAGCAGAACTAATCTGGCCACCTGGCAGTACAGCTCATCCACTTCAATCATCATGAAGTTCTCCGCCATCGTCCTCGGCGCCTTTGCCGCCCTCGCCCTTGCCGTCCCCACCGAGATCGAGGAGCTCGAGGGCCTCGAGGCTCGCGCCGAGAGCGGCGATGCTGCTGCTTTCAACGAGCTTGTCGATCGCCAGGTCTACACATGCAGCAAGTGCGTCGACGGTTACTTCACCTGCTGCGGTCTCGGCTGCAGCCGCTACAAGTGCTGAGCTATGAGGCCGGCATTTTGGGAAGGAGGTCATGAGGATTCACCGAGGGGTTTTGGACCGAGGTCACATCAAGTCTATAAACCTGCCGAATACATATGAATCCAAGAAGCCCCGAGAAGTCCATAATAGAGGTGCGTGATTTCCAAATTGGTGGTGACGAGGAGCCGTGAGCAGCATCCATTTAGCCGTGGTTGGAAATCATGGCGGAATGTGTGCCTGATGTCTGTACTTACTCAAGTTGGGCAATATCTTGCCAGTGCAGGTCTTGTCAAGACGATTGATTGAAGGTCGTGATGCCCTCCATCGAGCAGTAGGACCACAGGCTGAAGCTTCGGAGAACCACGTCGACTTCCTCAACGGCTGTAGAGGGGTCGACGGAGTTGCACCGTAGGATTCAAGGTGCAGGGGGTCTAGCCCCGCCTTCTGGCCGATCTCGTCATCCATTTGCGCGACGTGATCCCAACTTCTGCTGCTTCACAACCCTCGCGACATCATTACCCCGCAGCCAAAATGTCGAAACCCGAAGACCTCCCCCCAATGCAATACCGCTTCCTGGGCCGCTCCGGGCTCCAGGTCAGCGCCATCTCGCTCGGCGGATGTGAGCGAAGTCAATTCTTTCCCGGATCGGAGCGGTAGAACTGACAAAGGCGCCCAGGGCTCACGTACGGCGGCCATGTCGACAAGGGTGCGTTCAGCCACACGACTTCGATGATGATTGCTAACCACAGGCGCAACAGAGGGAACCTACGCCTGTATGAAGGCTGCCTACGATGCTGGTGTCAACTTCTTTGACACTGCCGAGGGTTACGAGGGTGGCGAGAGCGAGACGGGTGAGTTGGGACTAGCCTGCGAAGGGAGCGGCATCGCTGACCGGCTGGGCTCTAGTCATGGGTGAGGCCATCCGTAAGTACGGCTGGAAGAGGAACGACCTCGTCATCTCCACCAAGGTGAGCACCCTCTGCCCTCAATGAAGACGGCTTGTAGTCACACCGCCTAGATCTACTGGGGCCAGGCCAACGGCGACAACATCGTCAACAACAAGGGCCTGTCCCGGAAGCACATCATCGAGGGTCTCGACGCTTCCCTCGAGAGGCTGGGTCTCTCTTATGTCGATCTGGTCTACGCTCACCGGCCCGATCGCTACACGCCCATCGAGGAGACTGTCCGCGCCTTCAACCACGTCATCAACGCCGGAAAGGCCCTCTACTGGGGCACCTCGGAGTGGTCGGCGTCAGAGATCGCGCAGGCGTGGCGCCATGCGGACAGGCTCGGCCTCATCGGGCCCGTGATGGAGCAGCCCTGCTATAACGCGCTGCAGCGCCAGAAGGTCGAGGAGGAGTACGCCCACCTGTACACCGAGTTCGGCACCGGCCTGACCGTCTTCTCGCCCCTGCGCGCCGGCGTGCTCTCGGGCAAGTATAACGACGGCATCCCCGAGAACTCGCGTTATGGATCCAAGGGTATCGAATTCATCAGCAACTACTGGAAGAGGGACGACGCTAGGGCACAGTTTGAGGGCTGGGTCGACAAGGCCAGGAAGCTGGCGCCCATCGCCGAGCGCCTGGGCATCAAGCAGGCCACCCTCGCCCTGGCCTGGGTCCTGAAGAACCCCAACGTCAGCTCCGCCATTATCGGCGCCAGCAGTCCCGCTCAGGTCTACGAGAACGTTCGTGCTCTGGGCGCCATCGAGCTCCTGACGGACGAAGTGATGCAGGAGATTGAGGAGGTGCTTCAGAACAAGCCCGATGAGATCATCAAGAGGTTCTGAGGTATTCTTACTTCCGTGGGCGAATGGAGGATGGGTCTCCTGGCTGCGTGAAATGTGTTGGTAGACTCTTTTCAGTGCCCTTTTGGCTCGATACTGGTCAACTTGACAGCATTCTCGTAGTAATTGGCCGTGCCCCCATATTTTGCGACAACTGCGTCGAGATCGATGTCCTCTGCCCGCGTCGTCCTGGTTCGGCCCAGCAGGCCAATGTTCCTCGTGCTCGGTATCCTGAGTGCCTCGGTTTCCATTGTCCAGCCGCAGTCTTCGGCAATCCGCGCGACCCAGTCGACCAGCGACGCATAGGCAGAGCTCGATTTGGTCTTGTCTCGAGGCGGGGGCGCTCTGTACCTGGCGCCGCCCAGATCGTGGCTGCAACACGGGATGCTGATGAACGGCGACTCGGACTGCGTGGCCAGGATGGGCGTCCATGGCGTCAGCTCGTCGGCGTGGTTGGAGATGATGAAGGTGCCTTTGGGGAAAATGCCGTCGTGGAAGAGAACGCTATCCCCTTCGGAGTCCTCCTCGTCGGCCCCAGCAGAGCGGGTGACAAGCGTGGGCAGCAGCACCCGCTTCTGCAGAGAAGAACCGAGAGAAGGATCCATCTCTGCATATGATTCCCACGACTTTCGGGACCGCGCATCAAAGCCCCAGCCGGAATATCCCTCTTTGCGAAGCAGGTACACGAGGAGACCGTTGCCACAGCCAATGTCGACGAAGCCGGGGAAGGGCTTGTCCTTGTACATGACTGCCCACAGCTCGATGAGAAACGCCGCAATGCCCAGATCCTCAAAGACATGCTTTTCAGGATCGGTCACCTCGGCCCAAGAATCGATCAGGGTCTTTGCGTGCTCGAGCTTGAGCGACGTGTACCGGTCCTGGAAGATGGCCTGCGGCACGACTAGGTCGTGATGAACCTGCTTGACATACCCAGCCAGCGTTCCTTGGCCGTGCTTGTGGAGGATCGTCAGCAGCATCAGCGCGGTTCGCTGGAGCTTGTCGACATGGAAGTCGGCGTCCTCGAAGAGCCAGTAGTGAACAGAGATGGTGCCCTGACCGGATGTCTCATCCCATTCATGGAGCTGTGCCACGCCGCGAACTTTCGGGTGGTAGAATGGCAATTGCTCAGAAGATGACTCATGGGGTAGGTATACCACCAGAGAGCGGGTAATTGGGCCATCGAGGGACCGGAAGAACAGACATGTCTGATCCAAGGGGTTGTCTCTATTGGTGTTTCTGGGTACCAGTCTGCGGACCAGCGATCTCTCCAGGAAGAAATCCTTGAACTGTGCCGGGAGCGCTTCAACCTCGCTCGGACCGGGAGAATCAGTTTCCGAGTCGTGCAGGATATCAGCCCTGAACAACCATTTGGTGTTTAGGTTCGGGTTTTTCACCAGATTCACCATGACAACATTAAAGTTGTCAGGGGTGAAAGTGCAGTCATGACAGAGGATCGGGCGCCATTTGACACCTGACACGTCGTGAATCAGCGGCTCCGCCTCGGCGCCAAATGTTGTTGGCTCGATCGGCATAGAGGACAAGGGCGACCTCCGGTGCGATGGACAGGTGTTGGGGTTCCAAGTGGCCGTGCTGGATGGTGATGTCGTTTCTTCAGGGGAACATTTTCGACCACTGAATTGCTTCCCTGGCACATCGAGTGTGACGAAGCTGCACTAACCCGAAATGGGTTGGCGTCGGTGAAGCACCTCCCACCTGAGGCGCGGTGGATCCGTTTGTTTACTTTCCTTTTCAAATGGTGGGGGGGGATCGATCGCATAGCAACCGCCTGCCAAAATACTCGTGCACCACCTGCTGCTTTCTGTGACGTTGCGCAATTCCGTTGAAGCGTTCAGCGAGCTCCCGGCAACCGCATCAGACATCGGTATCCTTCCAATCTGCTTCATGACATAGGAACGAAAAACCATACACCCGAGAAATCCGCCGCCATGGCCGACAGCGACAACCTGCGGACAGCGTCGCTGTACATCAACAACCAGCTGCTCTCCCGAGGTCTCCTCCGCGATGGGCATAGAATCAACTTTGCGGATCCTGACGACTGCGATGGCGGCATCGATGTGACGATGGGAATGGTCATGAGCATCGTCAACGACCTCATCCTTCGACGCGACGTGAGTAGAACCAGCCGACCCGAGCGCGGCCCCTGAGTGATGGGCTGATGGATGGAACAGCGCGACGCGGAGAACCGCGAGTCCCTATCCATGACACTGCGCAACTTGCGCGCCGACAATCTCAAGCAAACAAACGAT